TGGTGTTGATGAAAGTACATTACACGTTATTGATACAACTATTGGCACAAATGAATGTACATTTTCTGTTAATGAACGGCAAAAGGTGTAATACTCTTCAACTTTCCAATACCCTTCAGTTATAAGGCAATTTTTTTGTTTGTTTGTTTGATGGGAAAATTGTGCAAAATTTTTCCCCCACTGCGGGAATCGAACTCGGCCCACGGCGGTGAGAGCGCCAAATCCTAACCACTAGACCATTTTGGAATACGATAAATGTAGGTTTACGATAAGTGAATACACGCAAATTTCATGGCTCAAAAACGCGAAGACAAGTCTCTAATGCAACTTTCTCGGTTGTAAAGGGATGTGAGAGAAGGTTTATGACTAAAGTTTGGCGCTGGAAAGAAAATTTGAAGACGTACGAATTTCCAAAGACTCGTGATGGTTCGCTTTTGGGACTCGAGTCTCCAGCCTTCTCTTGTTTCTTACTGAAATCCTTAAAACGGGCAAAATTCAAAAAATAACCAGGCAGAGCGAAAGAAGTGCTATTTCTCAATGATCAGGTAAAACTTTGAGGCTTTATTTCACGTATAACATGACACCACAGAAACCAAACTTGGGCTACCTGTGTTAGTAGGCACCGTCCTTAAATCGCCTTGAACTTGGGATATGCGCGCTATATCAATTTAGTTAATTTTCACTGGTTATTAGTAATGTTATTAGGTGACCATTATAAACTATGCTCTTAACGTAATTAATATTTTATATACTCATTATCAAWGCGCAATTATAAAATTTGAAATCACAACTTGCAGCTTTAGTTACCGATCGCTATTCTCTGTAGCACCGTTCAGCTGGATTTTTCCGGAAAAGATTAAGGTAAGTTTTAAAGTTATAATATTAACCCTTTAACTCTTACGACGTCCGAAACCGCACGTATTAAACGCACCTTATTCAGTTGAAAAATTCCCGCTTCAACCAAGCGAGTTGAACTGAATACAAGTCTTAAATCGTCATTCCGAAACAAGAACACTTTTCAAAAGTCAAACATGACTTGGATATATGTCCCAAATTCTAACAACCAAAAAACACTTTAAATGTTTTCGAAAAAACGAAAATTGACTATTTTTGATGCCATTTTCTAAAGCCCAAAATCACTTTTTATATTCGAATCATATTTTTTCTACTACAAATTTTTATTTCAACTTAAAATTCTAACAAAAAAAATTAAAATGTTTTCGGAAAAAACGAAAATTGACTATTTTTGACTTCATTTTCAAAGCCAAAAATCACTCTTTATCAGTCAAATCATTTTTACTGCAAATTTTTATTTAAACTCAAAAATATTGCTTACATTGTTATGTTCTGACCTGACTCTTGGTTGCAGATTTAAGTTTATTTGCCACCAATTCTTCGTTCTATACGGAGATCAACGACCTTTTTTCTTCGAGGTATCCGAGTAGCCGCTACTTGATTTCTCACTCGTCTGAAAATTGTCAGTTTTGAAAAATGATGATCAGATCGTCATGTTCTTAACAGCATAACACTAACAATTTCGCTTCATTTCTAGAATTTATTTATTTTTTTTTTTTTGGATATATCTTATCCTTAAATAATTCCCTTACACAGTTGCTTCTTTACTGGAGATCCGTCTCTCTAAATATTACATTCGATAGCATTTTTGGCCGTTGTATGAATGGTCGATTTTGACCGTCTTACAAAAATTACATATTGTAACATGTTAGATTACTAAAACCTCTCAAAAGAGTTTTGCTCAATTTTTGTGAAACTTTCGAGAGTTTTACTCGAAGCCACTAACAACATCTGCAGCTCTTGTTTTGTTAGGTTTTTTGTTCTGCTTTGACGCAAGCAATACTAGAACTTTCGTTTAGGAATGAATTCTATTCATTGTTGGTTATTTGTGTGTTTCGTGCAGGCTCGTAGCTAGGCTTAGAAATGTGGGGAGGGGGGGGGGGGGCAAAACAACATTTTTTCGGAAGACCATAATAAACCTGTCTAATTTTACTCTAGTCAAGTCAACACACGCATAAATTTCAAAAGTTGCACCTACAGGTGTTGATTTCTTTACATTCGGTATTCATTCGGTAACCTTACGTATACCTCAAATTTATATATATATATCCCATCTTGGCCACGTATGTTTTCCGGAAAAAAGAAAAAGAAAAAATAATTAATCTGAGTAGAGTTCCTCCAACTTCTACGTGCCTGTCGTGCGACAAAGCCAAGGATTCTGGTGGGTAGTTAATGACTTTATGATGCCCTAAAGGTACCAAAAATGCCAATAACATACCGAGATTCAATAAAAAAATTCTAATTGTCACACCGGACCACCCGTCGCTTCACGTCGAGAAGTTATTTCATTGCATTGTTTCATAAAATTGAGTAAATAACATATTTTTATTTCGTTGACAGATGTTTTTATTTCTACTTGTGTTCACCGGGTTGTTTGTCGTGCCCGGTTCGGCTGTGCTTCGTACAAGATTCTCGCGACGTGGGATGTTTTGCAGCCGACAAGGTTAGATTCACGTGACTTTTGAGTGTTTTGTGGCGGGAAATAATCACGTGTTAACCATTTACCTTACCTGCCAGATCATGTCTTGCGCAACCACGTGGTAGCTGAACGTGACGTCGCAGACGAGTTAAGTTGCACCATCGAATGTGTTGCTGAACCAAGATGTCGATCTGTCAATTTTAAGAAACGAGTGACAAACAGCAGCAGTGGCGCCAAATGTCAGCTGAATAACGCCACAATGTTTTCAACCAAAAAAGAAAACTACGAGAAAAACTTAGACTACAACTACGTATTTGACTCTGATGACGTAAGTGATTGTTCCTGGACAATCCTTCCTGGTAGTTTTGTAAACACGATATGTATTTATTCTCTACTTTCTTTGTTCGAGATCCCTGTATCGTGCTCACAGATCAAGGCAACAGTTCCTTCATCCCAAAGTGGTTACTATCTCGTGAGAGGTTCCTCATCAAAATGTTCATCAAGATTGGTCTACTGCGACATGGAAAATGACGGTAACAATCTTAACTCTTTGTTCCGCAGAAAATGGATTCATATTAAAAGGATTTTTTAAAATAACGAACAATAATGGCAAAAAGCGCCAAAAACTAGACTGTATGAGTTTTGATCCCAATTTTCGTTTTGGGTTAACACTGCTGAAAACCTTTGTTTGAAGCGGTATTTTCAATTGTACAAAGACTTTTTGTTGCACTTTTGTTAGAATGTTGCTTTGTAATGCTTTTATTTAGAAATCATAAGGAAATAACCAAATGAAGGCCTAAACCTCATTTTCGATTCAAATTTTGGCTTTGGGTTAACACTTTGATTCCACCTTCATCAAACATCTCCACATTCAAACAAGCTAAACTTTCTGAATAACAACATTTTAGCCATGTACAACAGGCTTAACTGAAGAAAATAGTTTTTGGCGCTCGACGCTTAAATAAAAATTAAAAAATCTCTTAATACGTAACATTAATGGTGATGACATTGGGTTTGAAGGAGAGTGGAAAGAGGATTGTATTTGTGTAACATTAATGATGATGACATTGTGTTTAAAGGAGGATGAAACGAGGATTGTACTAGTGTAACATTAATGGTGATGACATTGGGTTTAAAGGAGGGTTGAAAGAGGATTGTATTTGTGTAACATTAACGGTGATGACATTGGGTTTCAGGGGGAGGATGGACGCTAGTGACCAGTGTTTCCAACACCAGCAACAACCACCTGCTGATAAACAAGGTGAACTGCTTGAACAGCACTTTGTGTGTGGAGTATACGACTACCAATATGCAGACAAGAAAGATGGCAGATGATGATATTAGAGCAATGGCTGGTATGGAAGGTAAAATGAATGTAAATACATATTTAATGAATGAGGAAGGAATAAACCAGGTAAGAAGGAAGCAATATTTTAAAATGGGCTTTTCTTTTTTCAGGTGTTTTTCGTGTTAACGTCCTGAAAGCGTCTCCCTTCAGGGTGTTTTTCAAGGTAGTGCATTATTTGTTTATTATTAAGTCATRTTGYTGTAAATTRATRKTCWCCCATTYGTGTAATGTCATGTWATRAAYCTATGGCRTACACACCTTGTATTATTTGTTTCAGATTCCTAGTGGATCACAACACTTTGCTTCATCATGCGATGGAAACAGGTAAATATATAGAACCTAGCTAGTATTTAGAATCAAAATGAATTTACCATAGCCCCCTCCCATGCATTTTTATTCCTCCATATCCTCCATTACTCAGCATTATTTCTTCTCCTCATTCTTTCTCCTCTTCATTTGTTGTAATGCGTTCTAATTGTAATTGTTTTCTTTGTTATTGATGGAATGGAGACTTCGATACAAAACATTTCAGTTTCATAACCACGTTTGTTTGTTTTCAGCTGTCCAAGAATAGTCACGTCCCATAATTATCCTTACGTATGGGAGTCGAACTGCAAAGGAACCAGCATGGGATACGCTATTGGTTTCAGTCCAGTAGGAATGGAATGCTATCATGGTATGGATGGATGGATGGATGGATGCATGGATGGATGGATG